GCTACGGTAATCAAGACAATATGGTACTGGCACAAAAACAGAAATATAGATCAATGGAACAGGATGGAAAGCCCAGAGATAAATCCACGCACCTATGGTCAACTAATCTATGACAAAGGAGGCAGGATATACAATGGAGAAAAGACAGTCTCTTTTGCATTGGGGAAACTGGATAGCTACATGTGAAAGAATGAAATTAGAACACTCCCTAACACCATACACAAAAATAAACTCACAATGGGTTAGAGACCTAAATGTAAGACCGGCCACTATGAAACTCTTAGAGAAAAACATAGGAAGAACACTCTTTGACATAAATCACAGCAAGATCTTTTTTGATCCACCTCCTAGAGTAATGGAAATAAAAACAAAAATAAACAAATGGGACCTAATGAAACTTAAAAGCTTTTGCAAAGCAAAGGAAACTACAAACAAGACGAAAAGACAACCCTCACAATGGGAGAAAATATTTGCAAACGAATCAACGGACAAAGGATTAATCTCCAAAATATATAAACAGCTCATGCAGCTCAATATTAAAAAAAAAACAACCCAATCAAAAAATGGGCAGAAGACCTAAACAGACTTTCCTCCAAAGAAGACATACAGATGGCCAAGAAGCACATGAAAAGCTGCGCAACATCACTAATTATTAGAGAAATGCAAATCAAAACTACAGTGAGGTACCACCTCACACCAGTTAGAATGGGCATCATCAGAAAATCTACAAACAACAAATGCTGGAGAGGGTGTGGAGAAAAGGGAACCCTTTTGCACTGTTGGTGGGAATGTAAATTGGTACAGCCACTATGGAGAACAGTATGGAGTTTCCTTAAAAAACTAAAAATAGAACTACCATACGACCCAGCAATCCCATTACTGGGCATATACCCAGAGAAAACCATAATTCAAAGACACATGCACCCCAATGTTCACTGCAGCACTATTTACAATAGCCAGGACATGGAAGCAACCTAAATGCCCATCTACAGACGAAGGGATAAAGAAGATGTGGTACATATATACAATGGAATATCACTCAGCCATAAAAAGGAACAAAATTGGGTCATCTGTAGAGATATGGATGATCTAGAGACTGTCATACACAGTGAAGTAAGTCAGAAAGAGAAAAACAAATATCGTATATTAACGCATATATATGGAACCTAGTAAAATGGTGCAGATGAACCGGTTTGCAGGGCAGAAATAGAGACACAGATGTAAAGAACAAACGTATGGACACCAAGGGGGGAAAGTGGCGGGTGGTGGTGGTGGTGGTGGTATGAACTGGGAGATTGGGATTGACATGTATGCACTGATGTGTATGAAATAGATGACTAATAAGAACCTGCTGTATAAAAAAAAAAATTAAATAAAATTCAAAAAAAAAAACAAGAGCATATTCCTTCTTTTTCTTTTCTTTCCTTGGGGGCAGGGAAAGGTGTGGCAGCATGCAGGAATGGCAAGAGAATCTTCCAGAGCCTGGAGCCCTGGAAATCTGAGCTGGTGGGAAGGCAGTCTGGAGCCCACCATCTCCCGGGGCATACGGGGCCTGTGTGTCCAGCTCTCCTGGCTGCCTCCTCATAACCTGGAGAATCTAAGTTCTCCCCGGCTGAGGTCAGGAGGTCAGCCCAGCCCATAGCACATCTGATCTCCAGGAAGGTCTCTGTTCTCTAGAATTCTCTTCCCCCCAGAATCGCACAGGGCTGCTCTCTTAGATCTTCAAGGCTGCTGCCCCACGTCTTGAGATAAGAAGCAATAGTGCGGTACAGGGGCTCATGAGCCCCGGGGCAACCTGCCTTCAAAGCCTGGGATGGTGGCCGTTTAGGACGGGCTGTCTCACGTGCCCTCAGGCCGGGCAGCGGCAGGAAGGCAGCCTGACGACAGGGTGCCACACATCCAGGGTGCGTGTACCCACGCTTGGGTCCCGAGCCCAGGCTGCCAGGGGACTGCTGCCATCCTCTCTCCCTCTGGCCACCAGATCGTGCTGGGTCTCCCTTGCTCCCGGCTCCTGCTCTATAGAGCAAAGCAGTAGAGGAGGTGGAGGGGGACTCCCCTTCCCAGAAACCAGTGGGTGGGCTTTGTTCTGCCCATCTCTGTCCAGAGCAAGGAAAGCACAGCTAGGAGACTCAACTACTGAAAATCAGTAGTTGACTTACCATACCAGTTCTGACCCTGGGAAACCAAGCAGTGGGGAGTTGCCTGGGTTCAGATCTGCTGCTTACAAAGAGAGACACCTTGGGCAAGGTGTTTAAACTCTTTGTGCCTGTTTTCTTATCTGTAAAATGGGGGTAATAAATGTTACCTACTCAGGTAGGTGTGTTTTCCTATGAAGCTTAGATGGATTAAGACGCAAAAATTGGCACATAGCAAGTATTCATTAAATAATTATTTACCATCTCTGCTACCCATTTTCTGTTGCTTCTGCTACAAAACTCTTCAAGCTACAGCGAGCAGCCCTTTTCACTGAATTGACCTACCCCTGGGAAGACTCTTTGGCACAAACGGGCAAAGACACAGGATTCCTGAGTGTGGCAGACAAATAGGGCAGGAGCTGGACTTGCCACAATGAGGAAAGATTTTTTAGTAAATATAGTTAAAGATTAAGGCATTATTTCTTGAGTAACAGCTCTTAAAGCCAGTGGACAATAAGAAGTTAGCAAGTGGAACATCCACTGTCGAACATCATAAATTCCATGATTGTTGAATAATACGTATTGATGTGTCTCTAGTAAAATGACTCAGAAGTATGTTTGTATCTGCAGATTTAGAAATGCCATAAACTGGCAAGTGACTCCAATGCCTTCCAACCTAATACTCTTAACTCAGTGGTTCCCAAACTTTAGCATCAAGTGGGAATGCAGACTCCCAGGCTCCGCCCCCGAAAGTCTAATCAGGAGATTTGAGATGTGGATCAGAGGTCTGAGTTTTTAACCAGGCTTTCCAGGTGAGTGTAGGGGTCCAAGGACTGTCCTCTGAGAAGCACTGCTAGGCAATAAACGCTCTGGGTCCCATCCAAGGATCAGGGAGCAGAGACTCAGATGAGTATGTGGCATCTAAGAGGCTTTGGAGGAAGGCACAGGGGTATATTACATGTAACAGGCTGGGGGATATTCTCTTCTGTTCACTGTATGGAAACGCGTGCTCAGGATTTATGAGACCAGGGCAGAGCTGCCTTTAGTACCCAGGTCTTCTGACATGAACACCACTTTTCCACCACTTTTAGGATCCATGCCAGAAAGAAAACACTGATGTTATAAAAGTGGTTCTAGGGGCTTCCCTGGTGGCGCGGTGGTTGAGAGTCCGCCTGCCGATGCAGGGGACACGGGTTCATGCCTCGGTCGGGTAAGAACCCACATGCCGCGGAGCGGCTGGTCCCGTGAGCCATGGCCGCTGAGCCTGCGCGTTCGGAGCCTGTGCTCCGCAAGGGGAGAGGCCGCAACAGTGAGAGGCCCGCGTACCACACACACACACACACACTCAAAAGTGGTTCTAGGGGACGAAGGGGTGTGGGAGAGTGAGCACAACGAATGCACAATCTCAATAGGGTTGGGCACTTTCCTTTGCAGGGACCTCCTCCTCCTCCTCTGAGCGTACGCGCGCGTCTGCGTGCGCGCGTGCGTGCGTGTGTGTGCGCGCGCGCGCATGCATTGCCCTGGCTCCCAGCTCTGGGCCAAGTCCTGTATGTCTTGTGTGCATAAGGACCCATAAAGGCCAATGGGCTGGTTTAAATTTCTAGGCTCTGATCTTCTTAAACCAGGACGTGTGGAAAGGAAAGGGAGACAGACCCGAGCTTTAAGAAAACTTTGGCCTGGAATGTTCCGGTCAAAGTCCATGGACTCCTCTTCTGACTCCCAATCTGGGCCCTGAATTGCAGCAGGAAAGTGAGGCTAGAGGTTCTTTCCCAAGCCAGGATAGCACTTGCTCACTCACAGCCTTGAAAATCCTCATTTGTTTTATGTGAGGATGGAACAATGTGAAAATAACAGAATTCAAAGCATACCGTGAACACAGCTCCCCACTGTGCCTGTGTACACTCTACCCAGAGTGCGGATGGGGGGGGTCTCTTGACTGAGCCACCTGGGAGATCAGGTGCCACCATATTCCATCAGACAGAGGAAGGGAGGGTGGGGTCCAGGACACCTGGTAAGTCCCCTGGATCTTCAGCTGCAGTTTAAACATCTGGGTCCTCAACTCAAGGGACCCAACAAAAGCTGTGACCGCTCAGCCATGCCACGCGAAGTTCAACCAGAGTGGCTCCTGCTGCCAAGTACAAAATCCCATAGTGCAGTCAGCAGGCGGGGACTGCCTGGCAACGCTGACAGGGTCACCTTGAATGGCGGGGCTGGGGTGGAGGGGGACCTGGTAAACAGGGTCCCCGTGGGAGACTTAGCAGCCCCATCCTGGCTTTTCCGGGGCCACAGCGCGTCTTGCAAGAAAACGGTGTTTTCTGCCATTGTTCCCTCTCAGCGACACCAGGAGTACAAAGTCGCCCGGTCCTCCTCGCCCCGCCCATTCCCCCAGAGCCTCTCATTCAAAAGAACGGAAAACCCTGCCAAGGGCAGGACCTCCGACACCAGCTTCTGATGCCACGCAAGCTATTCTCCCCCGAAGCCTGGCGCCCCAGGGCCACGTGTCTGACCGCCTCGATTCTAAGGTCGAGCTTTGCTTCTAACGACGGGCTTTGCTCAAACGAGGGGAAAGGATGCCGCGAGCCATGTTTTAAATTATTGGTTCCCAAGGAAGAGCCGACGCCAGTAACGCACAGGATTGAAGGGGGACCCAAGGAACGGCAAACCGGAGTTCTCGGGGGTGAGGGGCGGGGAAGGCGTGCTTTCTCAGAGCCTGGGCTGGGTAGGAGGCGCAGGGGACACCCAGGCACACACACACGGACACACGCTCAGGTGCGCACGCGCGAGTGGCCTTCTGGCAAGGCCACTCGGTGTCCCCACCGCTCTCTCCGGCACGCGAATCGGCCCGGAACGGGAGCCAAGACTTACCGCCAGGACGCCCTGGGCCAGGAGCCCCACTGTCACAGCTCCCAGCAGTAGCCACCTGGATGGGAGAGGGGGGAAGAGCGCCATGAGTGTGCGGCCCCGGGTTGGAAATTCCAAAAAGCACACGCGCGCGGGACCCAGGGGATAGGCAGCAAGTCGCTTACCACCGCAGGGCAGGGCGCGACGCCGCGCGCTGGTCTCGGTCCATGCTCCCAGTTCGGCCCCTCGGGGCTCCGATCCGTCCCTCCTAGCCTGGAAGACGAGACAAAGCGGGCTTAGCCCGGCTGGGGAGGGAGCCTCGTCGCCGCCCGCCTCCGTCTGCGGGACAAGGGAAAGCGGGGCGCGTCCCCGCCTCTTGCCGGGGGTGACCGGGAGCCGCCCCGCGACGAGGCAGGGGAGAGGGCAGCCGGCTGCCCACCTAGGCCCGGATGGGGCCGCTCAGCAGCCGCCGCTCCATCCTCTCCCCCTTCCCACTCCGAGAGCCGGGCGCGCAGCCCGAGCTGCACGGGGCGCGCGAGTCTCTGCCCTCCGCCCGGGACTCGGCGTCCCAGGGCCGCTCTTACCTCAGGCCCGGCTTCAGTGGCTGCCGCCCGCGCGTCTCCGCCCTCCAGAAGCGCCGCCTGCGGCACGAGCAGCGCAGCCGCCCTCTCGGCCTCCCCGGGCCGACCTCGGGCCCGCGCGTCCGCCCTCGGAGCTCCGCCGGGTCGGCGAGCGCGGGGCGCGGGGCGGGCAGCGGCGGCGGTGGGTACAGAGCGCGGAGCCCTGCGTCCCGGCGCGCGGCGGCCACAATCCCCCGTCCGCGCGCTCCTGCCGCCTCTTACCCGCGCCGAAGGGTCCTCCCCCTTTGAGGCGCCGCCCGCCCCGCGCCGCTGAGGGGAGGGGCAGCGCCAACAAATTGGGGAGCTCGCCTGGTCGCGCTCAGGTCTCCGCCGCGAGCTGCCGCGCCCGGGACGGTGCGCCGCGCTCGAGTCCCGGCCCTGCGAGAGTGAGCCGCCCGCCGCCGCCCCCAAGAGCCCGGGCGCCGGCCCCCGCCGTCCGCCGCCGGTCCACTCCGCCCCGGGCGCGCCACCATGGGGCCCCGGCTCGGCGTCTGGCTCCTGCTGCCCGCCGCCCTCCTGCTCCACGAGGAGAGCAGCCGGGCCGCCGCGAAGGTGAGTCCCGGCCGGCTCGGCTCCCGGCGTCCCGCCCTGCGCCCTGTCGCCCCGCGCGGCCCCTTTGTCCCCAGCCGGAGCCGCCCTCCGGGCCCGGGGGTCGCGTACGGCACAACCGGGCGCACTCTCGCGGCCGGTCCCCGCCGGTGACCCCCTGGGGTGCGATCGCGCATCCATTAGGGAGCCTCCTTTGTTGTGGGCTGGGTAGGGGCGAGTCAGGGGACTCCTCGGGGCCGGGGGCGGGCGAGCAGAACTTGGTGCGCCCCGCGCGGGGTGAGGGTGCCCGGGAGTCAGGGGGATTTGAACTCGCACCTCGGGGGCGCCTGGCCGTCGGGCGCCTTCACCTGCCCCGGGCGCCCGAGTGGGCCGGGGGCCGGAGGGCCGGACACGCGCGCCCCGTGCTGTTCGGAGCCCCACACATGTGCCCGGGAGTCGCTTTGGGCGTGTTTCTCTGGAGCTTTGGGGACTCTGGTGGTTGATGCTGAACAGTCCTGGGCCGTTTGCCTGGAAACAGCTGTATCTGCTTTCCCACGACTTTGCTGTCGCTGCAGCACGCTAAGGGACAGCAGAGGAGCTTTTCTGTCGTGCAGCTTTCAAACGTTTCCATACTCGACGCGATGACTTTGACTAATATAGTAAAAAAATTATAACCACATTATATTTGAGTGTGAAACCAAAATGAAACTCCATCTCATTGTTCTGTGCACAGATTGTTTTCCTAGTTTTCATTTCCTCCGGCTGTGCGCTTGCCCGGAAAGGATCTGGGAGTTCGGTTTGCACAAGTAAAGGCGTCCAGCTCTAGACGGTCCCTGATGTACTGGTGCTCTTTGCTTTTTTGCTTCCCCTCAGACGGAGTAAAAACCTCAGCCGTTTCCCAGTGTCACAGCCTTGCAGACAAAACCCCGGGAAGGTGTGCCTTCTCAACACATTTTGCATCCCCCCTCCCCAAATATTTAAAAATGATGTTACTACTTTCGGCATTTCCCACTTAGTCTTGTTTCACATCCTGATTTTGCTTAGTTTTTTTGTTTGTTTTTTGTTCTTTTCTTCTCTTCAGGAAGAAGGATGCTCACTGACTTCAGTTCATTGTGTATAAATTATTAACTGTTCCTTGCCAGAATAAACTGGTGATATGCACACATGTCTTGCAGTAGAGAGTCTGGCTCTTTGCTGGCAGCTGTGTCACTAGGTATGGAAAGGCCTGATGCTGACACAAGCAGCTAACTTCAGATTGTCCCTCCCAGTCCAGAGGCTAGCCAGGCACCCTAGTCGGTTATTTAAACACCCTGTGGTCACGATGACAAAATACTTCCAAAAGAGGCAGCTCTAGAGCACTTTATTTGGGTCCAGAACTATTGACCCAGAGATTTAACATTTCCAAGGAGAGAAGGCAAGGAAATGAGCGAAGGGTCTCTATTTGGAAATATGAAACTCTGTTTGGACTTGGATTTTCTGATCGATGATATTAGCAAAGCAAAGCCAATTATGAGAGCTGGCTTTTCAAATAGCCAGGGCTTTGAAGAATGAGCCCCTCAGTGAGTGGGAAATCAAACTCATTACTGTTGAGTTTGGGCTTATTTTACTTTCCTTGTACGTCCCTGTCCTGGCTCTGCTGTATCCTTCAAATCTCATGTCATGTTTTAAGAGATTTGGCACGTGGACACCCTCTGATCACCAGTTGACTTCATGGGTATTATCATTTTGCCATACTTTCCCTGGTTTATTCAGAGAGAGAAAATTTATTAATATGAACATGACTTATGGCTGTATCAGAAAATCCATTTAAAATAATATCTGGCTAGTTTTAAAATTTGTCTCACTTTTCACACCATCAGTAACTTTTTTGTTGTTGTTGTTATTTTTTTTTGCTTACCTCCTTCCAAAATCAGCTGTTAGGGTTACCAAAAAGTTGAAATAATTTCCATATTGATCCAAGCAGAATGTCATTTAAAAATGCATTTTGAATGATAAGGTGCTGCCAGTCAAACCCTAATTCAGAAGCCGATAAAAATGATTCTCGGATTACGTGCTTTTGTGGAGTATCTGAATCCGTGTTACCTGCATTGGTACACCCAAAGGTCACCTACTAGGTGCCAGACAGAGATTGTACTTACTATTATTATTATTCACATGAAAGGCTGTTTGATTTTATATTTGATCATATCTGCTATGGCCATACTGTTCACTTACCGGTGGGTGGATTTTCTAAGCCAGTGATTTTTTTTTTCCTACCCCCCACTCCCCTCCCCAACTTTGCTTTCTTTGGCAAGGAAGGAGGAATAGGGTGCAGACCCAAGACAAAAATGTGCCCATAGTGTTATGATCGAGGGTCCTCGGTTCTGACTCACGCAGTCATGAGCTGAATGAATTCTTCCTTCTGCAGCCTCCAAACTCCCCCTCCAGCTGGTCTGTTTGATGCTTCTTCACAAATTATTTTTCAGGATCAGAAATGTGAACTTCCGCCAAAGTGTGGTGATGCCCGAGTAGGGTGTTGGCATCTCCAGACCATTAGTCACCATTCTGAGACTGAATGACCTAGAACTCAAACGGATACTTAATTCTGGTCTGAATGTGGACCACATTCTGCTGGGAATGTAATTTCAGAGAGAAGGGTGATTTTTGACTTAGTACCAGTGGCAGCGACATGAGCTCAGTATTCAGGAGTGAGCTTGGTGAAGATATAACCTAAATCATCGTGTTCTTCATGCATGGAGCTGGATGGGGATGAAGGGGAGAGCACCTCTGATACCACCCAGGAGAAACAGTGTGCCCAGCCTGTGTGTGTGAGTGCACACTTAGAGAATTATTAGTGTGTGTGTTAATGGTGTAGTCTCACACACACACACACACACACACACACACACACACACACACAAGTGTGGTTTAGAGACCGGAGGATCCTAAATGTTGTGTCTGCTCTGATTAAGCAGGTGATTTCAGAGGACTTGGTAACCCCCTGCCTCAGTTTCCCTGGCAGATCTGCTCCCCCACCCCCCACCCATCCTTCCTGCTTTCATCCCACACATGGGCCTTGAGCACATCTTCAGGCCACACCCCCCACCAGGCCGTGCATCAGTGAGTGGGGCCCACCCTCCTCCCCCAGGAAGGCTGTGGGCTCCTGAGAAGTACTGAGAAGGAAACAGGCAGATACAATTCAGGCTGGTAAACACTACAGTCAGGGTAAACCTAGGGCCACAGGAGCACCTAACCTAGCTTTGGGGAGCTCAGAGGAAGCTTCCAGGAGGATATCCCACCTCTGACTCTGAGGAAGGAATGGGAACCATAGACCTGGCGTCTTGTTTTCATATGAATTGTCATGTGCATCATACTCAGAAGGTTGCATAGCTCTTCCTTTGCCCTTTCACACATCAGGCTGTCTTTGCATGTAAAGGAGACCTTAAGGTTCCCTCCTTCGAGGTAGCAAGATGCCATTGCTTGTATGACTAACAGCCGTGATATCTGAACTTTCCCCTGGGAGGGGTGGAGACACGAGGAGGTCTAGGAGAGCGGCGATAAGACCCCAGCTCAACCAAAGGCCCCCTCCGGAGGTGGCAGGTGGATTGGGATGTCTGCAGAGTTACAGCACGGATGACTGATTGTAGGCGGGAGTGCCTTTAGGAGCTGACGGAGAACACCTCCCCTCAGGGGGCAAGGGCATGGGGGAATTCACAAAACCCTGCATTATCCATTAACAGGACTGTCTTCAGATTTCTCGGAACTGGGGAGGATGGCCATCACTGAACAAGTTCGGTTATCTAGTTTAGAACTGGTAGAGATTTTGCAGACAAACTGAACCCACAGGTGACCCGCTGAAACAAATCCTTTTAGAGATGGAGGGGGCGTCAATCAGTGAATAATTTACAGCACCTGTCTTGATGAGGTATACGATGTTTGTTCTAGCAACGGTTCCAGAAACTGGACAAGCATTAGCCTCATTAAAATGTCTCTCAGGCGGATTGGGTATTTTGAGTTCTTGAGCTCAAATAAGCAAAAGCAACAATAGAATGCCTAAAATAATATCAGAGCATTGTTCTGCTCTTATTAAACAACCACTAAGAAATGTCAGCTATAGAACAATACAAAAGACATATTCCTCCCATTCTTGTGCGCACAATGAAAGAGATGTGAACCAGAAAATGGTTCAATCGTCAGTTTCTTTTGAGGAGTTTACCGCCTGAAGAATGACTCTGGGGTTAGCATTTTATAGTCCGGCACACGGGGACCGGTTCCGTCCTGTATTTCCCTCCATTGTTCTCCTGGTCTTAGTCCTGTGACATCAGTCTTTCTTGGGGTCCTTTCTGTTTCCCTGCTTCTCTGTTCTTCCTCTTCCAGAGCCCTCAGGGTGGGTGGGCCCCGGGGCTGGGCTCCAGCAGGCTTCTCTTTTTCTCCACCCTCCCCACTCCCATGATTTGTCAGCATTTCGTGAAGGGGACTCCAAACCTTTCTCTTGAACCCCAGTCTGGTCTCCTCACGTTCGCATGGAACATCTCGCCTCCGCTGTGCTGCTTTGATTGCACACTTAGCAAATATGTCCAGAACCGAGCTTGCCACCTTTCACCAACCGACTCCCCTTCTTCCCAAGTGGCCCGTTTTGGTCATTGATGCCCCAATATTACCTGATGCTCAACCCAGAGACCGTGGCTTCATGTGGAGGCCTCACCCTCCCCTCCTTTTTAACCTTCACGTCACCCAGGCACTCATTCCACCCTTCCCCCTTCTACCTGTCCCTCGGAGCCCCCTTGGCCGTCTCTTCCCATGGCTGCGACGCCATTCCAGGTCTACTTGCTCTGTGCCAGGATCGCCACGAATCCCTCCCGCTCCTGCCCCCCTTTCAGCCTTCTCTTCTCCCCAGCCCACTCCTCACGTTGTGCTGAGTCTGTCTTCAGAGATCCCGCTGTGACCACGTGATTCCTCTGCTCAGCATCTGACAGTGGCTACCTCCTGTCTGACCAAAAGTCTCCAGCTCTTTGGCTGGGTGGTTTTCATTTGTTCATTTTTAA